GGCTCGAACCAACTGCTCAGTCCTCTCGGGTCCCGTCCATGGTTGCCGTTCACCATGTGCCAATAACAATACCTCTTCTGTTCGGCCTCATCTTTGTTCTGGCAGTTCGCGTTGTTATACCTTATTCCTCCCTTCCATATTTTCTTTCCCCACTTGTACACGTCTATTCCTGTCATCTCCCGCTATGTAATCTTCCTAGAACAAGCTTTTTCGCTCTTTACAGTTTCGACATTCTCGTCCATTATTTCTCCACTCATAACTCCCGAGTCCTCCAGTCTTGAACCCTCATTTGACCCTCCTTATTCTCCTCGGCTTTCACCCTCCCCTCCCCTAGACTCTTACGGCTTACCCCCCTCTCCTCTGTCGCCCTTGTGTCCCAACTCCCTCTGTAGTGGACGGTTGGTCCCTTGGGGGGCATCCCTTCCTCGCTGGTTCTCATTGATGCCTCTTCCGTCTTAAGCGAATTTGGTCCCTCACTCTTCCTGCCTCCTTTCTCATGGCACGCTTTGGGTGACCGACTTCTTGGGTTCCCCGCCCTTTCGCCATCTCCCCTGTTCCCGGAAGGACACATTCTAATGACGCCACGGGCTCTGGGATCTGTTTGTCCACTTTACCCTCCCTCTTCTCACCCGGTTCTCCCCCGAGCTTGTTCTCTTACTGGTGTTCATCGTTGATGCAGTCCCCCTCCTCTGATTTCTCCGTCCATGCCCCCCTGGCAGGAGGCCCCCTCCACAATCTTCCCCTTTTGGTTGTGGATCCTCCCGAGGGTCGAGCGGCCCCGGCTATTCCGCCCTCCTCGTCGTCCTGCTCTCGGCGCTTTTATATGGTCCCTTGGTCATTGGTCCCGATGGTTGATCCAGTGTGGTCCGTTGCATACGAGTTGTTCTAATGAAACACTCTCATGCGTTCTTATTCCTATCGACACGCAATTCTAAAGATGACTTCCTTCTGTCCTGACCCTTGCACCCTTTGACTCCTCCACTGACACGCACTCGTTCACTTATACTCGGTTGGTGGTTCTTCCGAAGTTTCTCCTGGGTTCCTGCCCCTTACTCTCATTCGTCACTCTCAACCTATACCTCGCCCCCACAAATAGCTTAGCTCCCTGATATTCTAAACATATGGCTCCACTATAATGGGACGCTTCTCCTCATTTCCTTCCATGGAGAGGCCTTTTATCCTTTACCTTCGATCCTCATAAATCTCTCCATCTTCCCTGTCCACTTTCCGTTTTCGCACTTGTCTGCTTTCTCCGGCGCCTAGTTAGGGATCTTGTTACTCTTCCTTGTATCTCGGGGGTCCTAGAGGTTGCCTTCCTCATCCTTCCTCTGTTCTCCTGTCAAGTCCTTCCCCGGAGACTCTCGCCTTTGGCCCTATGATCCCTCGTCCAGATTTTCGGAATGACTTTTCCCCCCAAGTCATTGGCCCCTCCCTTCCAATGATAGTTGCTGACCCCCTCTCGAAACTACCTCATGTTTGCTTCCTTAATGTCTCCTTAACCACGCTCATATCCCTCTATTTTTTGTTTTCTTCTGTCTTCTACTGTCTTCTTCCTTCGAGCTTCTGAGTTGCCCTCGATCAGGAATCTACGTATCTTCCTCATTCCTTCGTCTTTCTTGGCTTTTTCCTTCATTGAGGGTGATGGGCGACTTCAGGGTCCTCTATTCTTAGACGATTCCCTGTGATCCTCACGCTTGCTGGCAGAGGTTTTGTCATTTCAATTTCCCGTGCTTCACTATTGCCTTCTCATTTACCTCGGATCCAATGCCCCGTTGTGGTCTGCTCTTCAACGTTATTGGCCAGTTTCTCAGTTGTTACCTCTCCTTCACTTAATCCCTACCCGCGCTGGAGATTTGCCTACTCAACCTGGACCCCACTACTTATTCTTCTTGAACGTAGCCTGGAACTTCCTTCTTGCTGGGAGTGAAAACTCTGGTTCTTTCAAATGTGGCCTAGGAACGGTTGTCGGTAGCGGTGTTTTGACTTCAGGTGGTTGATCCCTCCGGGGGCCTTGGGTTGGTCCGTGATTTCCTTGTTTCTCCCCCGAGGTCTTATCCCTCTAGTTTGAGCTCCTGCATTTTCAGGGGACATGTTCTATCTGTTGGGGTCGATTCGTCCACTTCGTATACGACTGATTACTCCGGCTTTCACTTATTCTTCCTCTACGGAGTCCCTGGTTTCGCTGACCTGCCGGTTTTAAGGATTTGTTGATCCTTTTGACCCGGGATCCTTACTTTGGTCTTAGTTGTTAGTCGGATCTACAGAGTCTGGGGGGGGTCTTGCGGGGTCCTTGCATTAGGGGGTCCGGACTCGCCATAGTTCTTATACCTACGCTTCTTATTTTCCTAGTAGAATAACCTGCTCCTTGATCCTTCCGACTAACTCGTTTTTTAGCTGATTTATTGCTTTCTTCTGCTATCCGGTTCCTGTTTAGTCCACTCATTGGCTGGGCCCGCCTAGCATTCTACTACATAGAGGTGGCTTTTAAGATGGATTTTTATCCGCCAGCTGTTGCGTTCCCTTGGAATCTCCTGAATAGATGGTCCCTTTCCCCGGCTTCCCCTCTTAGGCTTCTCCTTAGATACCCTTTTTATTTCTAAGCCCCTCACGATGGCTTCCTGTAATTAAAGGGGGTTGGGTCCTGCTAGGATGCACGTACTTGGTTTCCCCCTTACTTTCTGGGATATGTCCTGTCCTCCCTCCTTGACCGAGCTCATGATCTTGAGTCCTATTCACGCTTCTCACTGATTGAACGACTTCCTGTTTCTGACTATTTCCTGGTTTCTGCTTCTCTATCTGTTTGAATTACTCGGGAACACTCTGCCGGATTTGAGTTCTCCCCTCCTACTTCACTTCCAGACTTTGGTCCTAAGGGGACTTCCGGAGTTATATCTTTGTGTTCTTCTAAGTAGTGAAACTCTATCGTCTAGAGGGTTGGAATTCTCTTGAAGTTTAACATCGGCTTTTGTCTTTGGAGGCTCCATATGGCATTTGAGCCTCTGGTGTTTGCGCCTCCTGTCAGTTTTCATCTGTTACTTCCCTTATGGATTTTTTCCTTCCTATCTCTTCTTACGGAATTGAGAGAAGAGGGGACACTCTCCCTCTCCGTAATTAGATACTCAGCTGTACGGCTTCTCCTTTATCATTACTTTGGGGGTCTTACTGCTGTTGCCAATACTTGGGGTAATAAAGCTTGGGATTCTTCATTACGGTTTCTGTCCTGTCCTGACTCCTCCTGCTCATACCTTCTTTTAGACTTGGGAAACCCATTCTCTTTATCTTATTATGTTCTTTCGTCCTACAATTATATCTAGCTCCTGTTGGGCACTGCTCTTCGAATTACATGGTGGACCAATTCAATTCGTTCCTTCCCCCTCGCTATACTCCTCTAACCTCGGCTCTTTCGGTTTTTATCCCTTTTTTCTTATCGGAACTTCTCGCCCAGTTCCTTATTCTTGTTATTAGATCTCCTTGACATAGTTGTTGAGCCGTCCTTGGGATTTTTCCCTTCTTGTTCCTTGGTCTGCTTATTTGTTATTTTTCTCTAAGTCAGTTCCTACCCTTGGAGTCGCTCACTCTCTTGGGCTTCTCCTTGGTTTGTTCCCTAAAACGACGACGCTTAGTATTTCTATAGTTCTTCCTTAGTATTTTTCCACCCTCGTTTTTTTTTTGCCTACTAGGATAGTTATAGCTATTTGGCTTGATTGGCTGCTATATCTACTCTCTGATATTCCTCCGTTTATCCTGAGTTGTCTCCTGTTTCCCGTTCCTGTACTTGTGGTTTCTCACCCGTTATGGTTGTCTTCCTCCTTCGTTGATAGCCTTGGGAAGAGAGTCTCCTGAAGATGATTCTCGCTCTTGGAATATTCATTACGTCATGCCTCCTGTGTCGGTCGGGTGTCGATTTCGGCGAGCTAAACTTCCCCTCTACAATCCCTATGGCATAGAATAAGTCTCTTCCCGATTCGTCCTCTTACTCCCAACCTGACCTCTCCTCTAAGACTCTTTATTCTTACCCTATAAGAGTAGTCTCGCCCTTTCAGTACACTCGGATGATTTCCTTTCACTTAAATAACTCGTCTCATGATTACTCTGCCATGGGGAGTAGCTGGTTCTGTTCATAGATTCCTTCTCCTTTAAATTCCGGGGACCCTTGACTTTTGAGATGGGGATTATATATTTATTGCTCGACTTGTCTTTTAAGTGGGTTCCTCTATTTAGTAGGTTTGCTGTCGCGCTCTGGGGGTTAAAATCCTTATTACTTGAATGCTTTCACGCTGGTGTTCCTCAGATTATACTCATACTCCCTTCGCTTCTCACCTCAGTTTATTGCCCCTGTTGGCTGCTCTTCATGTTTTGCTGATTCATATAGTAGTGACATTGACCTCCTGGAGCCGGTGGTCCTTCATCTTCGAACTGCGGCTTGTTTAGATCACTGGGGGAATTTTCGTTTGGTTTTGTCTGTGGTGGGGTCCAGACTCCCCTTTCTTTTTGGTGTCCTATCTAGTTACTTCTATCCACTCGGCCTTCTGAAGAAGCTTTCCCTTTATGATTTTCTTGTTTCCTCCTGAGTTTTTCTATCCTGTTGCGTATACTCTACGGTGACTTGTGTTGGATTAACTTGTTCGATTCATTCATCTAGTTCTTACTGGTTTGAATCCTTTTGCACCCTATTTAAATTCCTAAGATACAGGGTAGGGACTGGGCCTATACGTTTCTTGGGTTATGATCTGTCTCTAGACCCTCTTTGCAGTTGATCTCCATTAACTTCTAGGGGGGGCCAGATTTGGGGTGACGGCTTAATGCCTCTTCCTTGCGGTTGCTTGTGCTTTCTGTTATATCTTGGGTGTCGATGAGTGAATTTTTGGGGCTGCCGTAGACTGAATGAAAACTCTCGTCTTGACTATAGTGGTTCCTTAGCGAGGTCTGATGATTTCCTGAATCCTTCGCTGCTATTGTTCTTCCTGAGGGGGCGCCTTCCCTACCACATCTGGGTGGTTAAGGTTGTATTTTCCTTTTGGGCTGACTTGTCTTGCTTCTGTTTCAGGCGTTACGGGTTAGGGGCAGAGATACTACTGTTGATCCTTTTCGGTGGAGTTGAACTTCTTCCTAGGAATCCTTCTTTTTTCGGTTTTATCTTCTTTTGATTTTTCGGGCTTCGCCTGTTGGAATTTGTAGTTTTGTTTTGCTATCCCTTACAGTTCCTGTCGCCGCCTTGTGGTTTCTTATTGCTTCACATCCTCCCTCCAGGTTATTCCTTGGTGAAAACCTTTCCCAGTCTCCTACAGTTCCTTGGTTCAAAGTTGAAGATTGTTCCTATTGGTTACTTGTTTGGGAATCTAGAGACTTTATGGGGATTTTGCAGCTACTATTAATCCAGACCCCTCTGTTTTCTTTGGCTTTTGGCTTGAGTTTTCGTAAAGGAAATTGTTGCATTCGGCGCTCAGGCGTAATCGTCTTCCAGTAGACTTGGTTTTGGGTTGTTTGGGAGGGGTCACTGATCTGTGGATTTCAAGGGATATGTTTTGTGTCACTAAACTCCCAGGACCAACCCTATTTTCTTAATAGTGCATGAATTTTGCCTTTTTAGTTAAGCCCCCTTTTCCTGTATCTTCTCGGAGTTTTTCTTACGTTCGTGCGTTCGCCTGGACTTTTCCTGGACGCTGGGGTTGAGTTGTAGCCGCTCAATACTGCGATTAGTTTCTCTGCATTTGATCGCCGGTTTCCCCCTTGCCAGATACCTTTTCGTCCTTAGATGGTAAAGACCTATTTCTCTAGAGTCCTGCCTTCTCCTGATGCCGGCTGGGTAGTTTAGGGAATGAATCGCCCTTAGTCCATATTTCCATTCATCCGCAGGTTCTTTATACTGACAGTCCCTTGCTCGATCCACTTATTTTCTAAGTTTTCTGGTTTTGTGTGACGTGTTCTACTTAGACTTTTGAGGAGGTCCCTTTGGCTTAATTCATATTAAGTTTTTATATTAATACTATTACCTTTTCTTTATCTTCTGTCAGACTTTTCCATAATGTGTTATTCCTAGATTGGACTGGCCTTAACACTTTGTTTAACTGACGATGTTTTCCTGTTTAGATGTATACTTTTCCGTCTCCTATGCCTGCCCAGAAGTTTTCATCTATGAATTTCTATTTGAGAATATTATCTTTTGGAAATTGAAAATATTGGGGGTTCCTTCTTCTTGATGTTGGATTTTTCATGGACAGAATTAGGGGACTCGATTCCTGTAGAGGCTCCCAGAACTCTTTTGAGGAGTTCTCTATTCTCTCACTACTCTTCTTCTTAGGGGAAAAAGCTTCGGGGTTTTCCTGTGTTCATTTTTTCCCCATTTGTTCTATCAACATGTGTTGAACTCCTGTTCGGTTCTTAGGGACTTCTATTTTCTCTCCGAATGGGAATACTCTTTCTTGGATAAGTTATCTCTAGATTGCTCTATAATAAGCCGGTTTAATGGTAGCAATCATTTGTTCGGGTTCAGTTTCTTCTTCACTGTCTTTCCCTCTACCTCGTGTTTCATCTTCTTAGCCATTGCTCGCTTGATTATTGAGTTGTGGGGAATTGTTCCTGTTTTTGGCCCCAGTCTCCTCATTGCGATTCTATCAGCTCCTCCCTTCGTGTCTTGATCCTGTTGGTTCTTCCTGATGTCTGGTTCGGTCTAGGCTGTATCTGCTACGTTGCTCTCTTCCGTAGGGCCTATGGATTCGCTTAGCATCCTTTATAGAGTTTTCCCTAATTGGTTAGTTTAATCTTCCTTCATGGACGTCTATGGTATGGTGGCATGGTTATACCATAAGCTCTACTGGGATTGAGGGGTTATCAAGACTTTTGTTTGCTGTGGAGTTATTATTTGTGTTCCTTGCTCCCGTTTCCTAGAACTTATAGTACTCCATTTCCCTCCTCTTGATTTGATTAGCGTATTATTCCCATTGGTAGGATTGACTAGAGGTGAGATTCCTCTTGTTATTTGGTATTGGTTTTTGGTACTCTTCCTTTCATTTCTTGGTCTAACTAGAGTCCTATTAGAGACTAGGCCACTCTTCTGCCATTTCCCCGCTTGTGTTTTGATTATGCACTTCCCTTCTGGGGTTATAACAGGGGTCATAGTTGTTTCTTAGCCCTGTAGGGTTCTTAAATGGAGTATCTATACTCTGGTTTTTCTCTCGAGGCTCTTTCATATGTCTGTTAAGAAATTATTTCATTTCTGCTTGACTCATTTGAGATAGGGGTCCACAAATTAGGGTTAAGCCTGTTCCGTTCTTTCCTGCTGACTTATATTTTTGTCTTACTTTGTCTTTTTTTCCTTGGGTTTTCGTTTCGAAGTACTGTTAATTTGTAATATGGGCTCTTGGGGGTGGTGTGTGCTCATTTTTGCATGTATTTTATTTTAAATTGGGTCCGCAGTCCCCCATGAGATAGGATTCTCACATTATACATTGGTAAGCCCAACTCATCCATTCATACCTTTTATCCTCATCTGTCCCTTTCCTTTTTTGTACTTGCTTAGATTCATACTTCCTACCTGTTCCTTTTTGAGTTCATTTGTCCCCCTACAGGATTCAATTCATAGTTTTCTAAGGCCCGTTTTCTTCCCTATATTGCTCCTTCTCTGCCCGGATTCTTAAGTATTGTCTCTCCCTTTGGCCGGCGGTGCCGAGTTTTGTGGTTTGATACTTCGCTTTCTTCTCTGGTTTCTAGGTTTAACATCATATGTAGAAACTCTCAGGAAGTATTGGACATTTGCCCGTTATATTTTTCGCCTGTTACTAGTTCCTTTTAGAGTGAGGCAGACAATAGGTGGTCTTATCAACCCAAATTTCATCCTTCCCTTGGTATCCTAATATTTAACGCCCCTTAAATTAATAATGAAGCATTCCAGCCCTTTGGGAACGTGCTCCTCCCATCCTCTGGTGGTGTTGTCCTGTTAGATCCTGAGGGCGGGCAAGCTTCAGACGATTTTCTCCCGCTTAGATTACATTTTTGCTTGATGTCTTCCTAATTGGTGGGGGTATATCATAATGTTTAGCTGTTTGTACTATTTGGTCGCATTCTGATACCATTAAATATCATATTACTTCTGAATATTATTAGAGAAGACATTATTCACTAATATATTGGCCCTTAAATACAAACGCCGTTAGTAGGTCTCATTTAGGACGTGGTATTCTTCCTGAACCTATATACTTAAGATAATATTTGGTACATATGATCCCTAGATTATATTAGGCTCGGATTCTACTACATTATTCCTAACTTCTGATTCTATATACTTCACTTTTTAATTTTATGGAGTACTTTTATTACTACTCCTAATTTCTCTGACTGCCAGATCTACTACTCCTTGACATCTGGCTGCTGGAGATTTTACTCGTCTCAATTAACTTCTGATAAGATTATAAAAAATGCATTATACCCTTGGTGGCACCTTACATATCTAATAAGGAGTACTGCTCCATAATTTGGTATCTACGGAGTTCTGTCATTCCAAGAATAACTATATTTATCACAAATGATTATTATATTAGTAGATTAGTCTAACGTAGATCATATATCACCAAATAAATGAAAGGATCTGATGCCTGCTCAATGGTAGTAGAAAGCACCTAACTATTTATAAAGTGTGAGTTCCCCGAAATCGTTCACTAAGCCCCTCTAATTATATTATAAAATCTTAATATATTCAGTAAAAGACCCACCTTGCCCCCTGCTTCGTACCTCTTTTTGCTTCCCCTTAATCAGAAACTTGTAATATAGGAACATTTTTGATCATGCTTCGGTCAATTCAATTCATAAATTCCATATTTATTACTGCAGTAGTCTGTTGTCCTAATTAGTTCCTACACATCCTTATATAGAAAATATTCAACATAAAGATTTGGCCTAAATATATCTATAATTAACATTTAGAGGTGTTATTGCAGTTATGATTATTGGGAGGGTTGTAATATATGTATCATGAGAAACTTCTTTTTTTATTCATTATAAGATTGAAGCAAGTACGTCATAGATAAGAGGATTCATATTTGTGATTGCACTATTAGCCGATAAATATACATAAGGAGTAAGGGATTTTCGTATATATTTTTCAATAATTTATAAGACTTCTGCAGGAACCCTCTTGGTGAGGCTTCTGTTTGGATTATAGAGTAATGTCACAGCGGTAAAGTTATTAATCTAATTACCTGATTTTTTCCATTCTGCTCCAGGTGTCTTATACACTCAGTATTGAAGAATTAAGTGGTTTCATGATAGGACATTCGGAAAATTTCGGTTCCTTAGTTAACAATTTCATAATTTCATTAAACAATGAGTGATAGTCATGGTGTATCATATTTAACCTCATGAGCCTGAAGTAATATATTGATTACGGTACCATATAATTTTCCCTTTTCCATGTCTGAATGCTTGTGTACTTGCTTGTATAAATAGATTGTCTCACAATATATGAGATATAATAATATATACACTTATACACAACTAATTATATTATTTATTATGACAGCAGTTCCTAATACGGATTTGGCTATAGCATACAGATCAGGTTCCCTCTTTTCCATTGTTTAAGAAGAGGATGTATAATTCCAGATATTCCTTCCTTGGACTTATGTACTTTAAATATTACCCAAGAGAGATATGTGAATAAAAAAATAACTGGAAATAATACAAATTCTGACTATACCCATAATAGTATGCAGTGTGTTTGTAATATCAGCTCCTGTCATGCAATGAATTGGAAAGAAAGAAACAGACCGTGATTAACATACACATTAGGAGACTGTCACAAGTTAAAATAACAGAAACAGAGGTAACGTAAAGATGAAACAGGAGAATAATCATTCTCTAACACTTGAAGGAAATAGGTAAGAGAATAATATGCCTCAGGAACATCTTTACATTGCTGTTCCAGCTTAATCCATAAATACGTGACTTATTAAAGATAGGATATATTTTTTATGATTATAAATTTTTAATAAAGAAGAATACATTCAATACATGAATTACACCCTGGAAGTGTCAATTTATGAAGTCTTAGATCGTATAATGATGACAACATATGCATACGACAGGCACTGATGGAAATTTCGATGAATGGATACACTTGGGATATTGCACATCGTTACGCGAACAGCTAAAACTGTCCTCTGCTGCAATTTCATAGATATATATAGTATTCCATGGACTCTGAGGATACCATAACGTAGGATATCCTGGGTGTGAGAGCTTAGAATATACTTTACCTGTAGGGTCAGGTATAACACATGATAAAACTCATGAAGCGTACGACAGAATGTCACCAGTATAGCTGTCAACAATGCCCATGAATACAGAAGTCGAGTCCACTTATTTCTCATCCTAAAATTTTGCACTTCACGGGGATATGACTAATTGCATATTCTATCGTTTAAGGGTATCTGTACGCTGCCGGATCTGAAGAATAAATTTGGAATTATAGGCAAGGAGGCGTCTTTGAACATATATTGTAGTGGAGGTTTAGTTCGTCCTGATGAAAACTTTCAATTTAAAGTAATATAGTCGCCGTTTCCGAATAAATTCAGTCAGATTCGAATGTAATCTGCCAATAATTCCTTAAAATAACATAGAATCATGTCACATTAGAATTCTCGTACCTGTCCTAAATGTAGCGTGACTCTTGTAAATGTGTTATTCTTCTTCTGCACACATCTGCTGGTGCGCTCAAAGCTTATGTGCAGGATTTGCATGTTTATATGTTTTTGTACAATGCCTTCTCCTTTCCCTTTTTCTTTAAGCTTCAGCTTATGTAGGAATACTTGCTAATTTCTTCTTCTTTCACTCTGAGTCAAATCCGTCCCTTTTAAAATTATATACAATTTGTTCCTGTTCGCCATCTTTTCTTGACAAAATGGGTTACGCGCGATTGGTAAACCATGAACCATGGAATTATATATAACACTCTGCCGCAACTTAGCCACACATTAAATGAGTAAAAGCGCGGATGAATGGATGGATTCATTTTCAATGAGTCTCCTTACTGCCCAAATAGTGATATATATAGGAGGGTTCCGGACTTTTCAAACTTAAGAAATTATTTTCATAGCCTGTTCGCTTATAATCACCAAAAGAATACGAAAAAGTAAAATCTAAGTCATGTGAGTAATGCCATCCAAAGAATTGGAAGCCTTATATTCAAAAACAAGGCATCAGATAATATACAGGTAACAAAACAACTTTCATGTCAGACCTTTGACCAGTAGTGACCCATGCAGTCAACATAGATATCTTATGATTACGATGTGAGATAAGACAAAAAGGGACACCTTTACCCTAAGTGTAGAGACGCTGAATGTTTTAACCCCTCCAGGATTTACATCGGAAAGTGTGTTATATTTTTACAAAAGCAAAATAGCTCTTAAGGAAGCCTCTGAAACTTCAAAGAAGAAATAAATCTATTTTAAACCATTATATATTTTCATGTATAACATCACAAAGGGTATCAGAGCATATTACATCCAAGGGCAACAAATAAAATTGTAGAGTTTGTAATTCAAACAATAACGCTCAATACAAACAGGGAAAAATTTAGAACACCAATTAATATAGGTAAGAAATTTCGTACTTATATGTCCTTCTCGTTAACCGCGAATAATCGCGTGTATTCTGAGACAGGAAAGTTGCCAATCATCTCCTTTCTTATTTGATGCGGTATTGGGCCCGGTGAATATCTCACCTCATATGTTACCGTAAGTGTCCTCTGTCGTGTCCACCTTGCTTTCCTGCGGGTTCATTTGTTCTCTTTCAACATTACTTTAGGTACTCTTAGTTGTTAGGTTATTTTTGTCCTTTTTGGTTATATGGGGCTAGTTCTCCCTTGCATGCTTCCTGCCAGCTTCACATTTATGTGTTTTGATAGTGTTAAAGCAGTTAAATGGTTCTACCCTATATATTTATTTTTGTTTTGAAATGGAGAATTTTGCTCAATGTCGCAGTACCTTCAATGCATAAACTTCGTTTTGGGCATTTCTTCTACTTCAATTCTCCCTTCTGCTCTTCCTAATATGAAAAATGGCTCGTATGTTATGGATATTCGTAGCCTCTTGTCAAAGATATCCTCGTAACATTAATGTTATCGAAACCGATGATATTCGAGGGAGAACAGTACTCTGCATATAATACTACTTTTAGGATACCGCATTTTCTCAAAAAATGTTACTCCAGATAAATCAAACGACTTCATAAAACTGTTATGTCCTTATATTACACCCGGGATTTTAATGGCTTTAAAAATAAGGTACCGGAAATGAGAAAACATCACTGCTGTATGAATAATGGTCTCATTCAAATAACGAAACGTCTAATGTTTCATCCGACCTATAGTAATATCCGGGACACATACCTTTAGCTCACTATATTCTACTGCCTATATATTCTTACGGTTAATAGAAAAGTGTCCCGTATATAACAGCAATTCTTGTATATAAAAACCCTACAAATATTCGTGCTTCGGAAACAGGCATAATCTTGGCTCAACTGTCCTTTACAAAAACGAATACTAAGCACAGGTGATATGGCTTACATAATATAGCTCCACAGCATGCATTACTCTTATGCTACTGTGGTATTCAGAGAATAGGACTCCGCAGATATAAGTATATTTCAGCTGTTAGTACATTCATCTAACAGTACTATTAGGAATTCCGCAATTTTCCTCATTGAGAATGCATACACATAAGTACTTTTCAGGCAGTAGTTTTCCTGGAATATTCATGCACTTCAAGGAATAGTGCCTCACTAATAAGACCACTCCTGGAATGTTAATACTAAACAGACAAAAGTACTCTTAAAATTATAGTATTCCGGGTGTAGCAATATTCTTCAAAGAATAGTATTCCAGGCAATTAAAACCGTTTGCACAATCATCTGCTTCATATAATGGAGCCGTTAACATTATATCGAAACACTTCACATGATGCTATTCGGGGGATAGTTCTACTCATCATGGTACACCAGTCCATACATAACAGTAGTTCTCTTCAAATAAGAGTATTATTCTCAAAAAAGTACTCTTAATATAAGAATACTCCTTGCAAACTCGCCCTGTTCCAATAATAGTGCTCCAAGGATAATCGTACTCATCCCGACACAACACTTCGCACGTAATGGTCCTTTCAGTATAATAGCACTCCAACTCCTCCATATAGCTGAACCATTAGTACCTTCATATAACAGTACTATCGCAACATCTGCTCTCCTAGCCATCAGACATCTGGACACATAAATAATTTTCAGGCGATATTTTCACTGGAATATGCATGCACTTCATAGAATAATGTCCCTCATATAATGGGGGCGTGAACTCTGAATCTTTCGCATAAACTACTACATGGAGATCAATACCTTTCCTATAATAGTATTATACATACATCCCGGCGCTGCTTCATCCTTAGAAATGCCCATGACTATTCTACAAACTACAGAACACCAGGCGGGCTTGTGCTCTTCATGTAACGGAACGATAAGCATGTCAGTACATTGAACATATGATTACTGCAAACACGTGAATAGCCTCCCTACAATAACACTCCAGAAGATCCTTACCGTTGAGACAACTCTGCTCTTTAATTAACAGGGTTATGTAGGTGACACTGCCATTCACCTAATAGTACTCCATCAAAATCATCACTTCTAGAGCAATAATACACCAGAAGTAAAGGTGCCCTTCCACACATCGATATATTATTCCTGTTTGCTAATGCAACCAAATCAGTATGGCCATGATATCTACACTTAACCTAGGTGGCAATCCTGATAAATAGCCCAAAGAAGCCCATATCTTCATAATGGCTGCACATAGAAAACAAAAGGGAAGGTCCATCACAATGGTGCCGAAGAAGAAATACTAATAAAAAAGAATGAAATACGATACAACATATCCACGGGGATGCAGCCAAGAAGGCATCTTCACAATGATGCGGCCTGAAGAGACCTTTTACGAATAATCGAGGCGAAGAAAAATCTTCAAACGGGTATGGCAAAGAAACGTCCTGAAGATATCAGGAGAAGAAAGCATCTCAATAAAGAAAATAAAACACGAACCAGCATTTTAGCATTGCCTCGGAAAAAGGGCATCTTCATAGAGAAAATCACACAAGAAAGGAAATCTTCACAATGCCGCGAAAAAGGTACATCATCGTAGAAAATATGAAACAAAGAGAAAAATCTTCACGATGCCGCGAGAGGAGACAGCATCAATATAAATCAAATGACACAGAACAGTATATTCATGCTGTCGCGGGAAAAGAACATCATAAACAATGCCGCGTAGAAGAAAGATCTTCATAAAGAGAAGAGACTCCTAAAAAGATTTCTTCGCAGTAACATGGTAAGAAGAAGTAACATCTTTATAAAGGTGCCAACGAAGAAGATATCATAAATATAACGTTATAAGAGGAATCTTCGTAAGAATAATGCCACACCAGCAAAAATTCTCATGAAGTGCCACGAGGAACCTCATGAGGCCACCCGAAGAAAAAGCTATGATCAGAATAGGAATGCAGCGGAAACAAGAATCCTAATAGTGACACAGCAAAAAAAACCCTCTCTAAAGAATGAAAAACAGCAGAATATATTAAAAGTACAGCGCAGACAAATCAATCATGGGAAAGAGGATGTCCCACAAGCAAGATACATTAAAATGACGCAGCATAAGAGGACAAAACTTCAGGAAAATCGAACAAGAAATATTATCCTAAACGGAATACCACACAAAGAGTCATCCTCATATTGATGCAACAAGAAAGATGTAGCTATGCAGACATGTAACAAAAAGAAGCATTATTAGAATGACATGACACATATAAGCCTCCTTAGAAAATTGCAATACAGTGAAAAGGCATCAGAGTGCCGCGGCAAAACAGTACCTCTCACATTGACGTGACACGAACACAGCGCCATAACCCCGAGGCAGAGCATCATAAAAATGTAGGAAAAGAAAGCATCATCATGGAAAGACGACACAGAAAATAGTGATAGAAATGCAGCAGATAGACGCATCTTCATAAAGATGCCAGGGGAAGTCGTATGTTGATAAGGATGCTGTGAGGGATGCCATCATAAAGAAACCCTCCAAAAAGATTTCCTGAAGGAAATGGCGCAGAGAGGTGTATTCTCATGAAAAAATTAAATAGAAAAATATATATAATGGAGGGGAACAGGATAGCATGCGGGCGATGGATATAATACATGAGAGGATCCCCCAGAAATTGATCCACCTGAGAGGACTTTGGCAGGGTTAAGCTACATGATGCCACGTCCGGGAAAAATTATTCAACATGAAGACACGTTCACAGAGGTTACCCGACAGGAGACGAAGTTTGCGAAATTACCCCAAATGAAAATACGTTCGCAAAATTTGGCCACATAAACACGCATATATAGGAGAGGGGCACCATGAAAAGATACTCTCATAAAAGTGCAAAAAAATGATAAAACAAACTTATGGGGATGATACAACCCGAAGGCGCATCCACTGGCACCATGCAGCATGGGGATCGATAGGCGAACAGGTTACGATATGAATTAAGACACTTATAAAAGTGCAGAAACATGAAGAAACATACACAGGAATAATGCAACATGCTGGGGGATACTGGTGAGATTATCAAAGCATCAGAAGAAACACTGACAGGAAGGAGGGGGCATAGGGACACATTCAGAAAAATAAGGTAACCACATACAGAGCCATATAAACACGAGGGTCCACTATCTGAGGCAGTAGGGATTGAATCTGCATATTTGTCTTCCATTGCACTCATGAGTTTCCACAGAAAGGCATGGACGTATTTAGACGCTATAGGAGCCCATTCAATTGTATGCAACATATTATTAAAGTTCAATATAAAATTAGAACCCATATTATACCAGTTCGAATTCAGCAATCCATTATTTCCTTTTATATGCATAGGGAAAGAAGGTCATGAGCAATCCTGTAATTTTAAAGAGGGAATTTTTATCCCTAATGAATAATCTTCTAATCGAAATCTGCATATAATGCTAAGTACTTTCTCTTTCTCCGTAAAGAGGTGTACCATCGGTACTATTATCTTTCCTTTTCGTTCTGTTTACGGGTAGGTTTGTTGTGTAACACAGCAGATGGGCATGAGAATTCCCCAGGTTAGCACTTCTTATTTCTATAACAGATTAACTAATCCCACATATAAAGGGGAAGAAACATACATATATGTATTTATGTTCATGGGTATATATATGTTCAATACAAAGGTGTAAGGAGCACAAGAACAAATAGGATGTTATCGATAAATGATAGCAATGTATAGAGGTATCTAAATTATGTGTATTTTTTCAGCTATTATCTCCTTTATGACTTTCGAAATTCATTCATCGTTAGTTTACACCCATAATGGAAATTCTCT